GCAGGAGAATTGCCTGAACCCAGGCAATTCTCCTGCCTCAGCCTCCTGAGTAGCTGGGATTACAGGCACACACCACCATGCCCAGCTAATTTTTTTTGTATTTTTAGTAGAGACGGGGTTTCACCATGTTGACCAGGATGGTCTCGATCTCTTGACCTCGTGATCCACCCGCCTCGGCCTCCCAAAGTGCTGGGATTACAGGCTTGAGCCACCGCGCCCGGCCAAGACATTTTTTTTAATTCAAGGGTTCCTGACAGTAATGGTACTGTGGGAGTTATATGATGTGCTCATGGTTGAACCTCTTTTATTTCAACTATCTATTCACAAAGGCCAAAAGGGAATTGCTTATGGAACGCAGGCATTTCTGACAATTCAGGAGGAATTGGTATTTAACCAGACAGCTTCTGGCAATCAAGTGTGAGCATGGCCAGGATTCAACCAGGGCATCGATCACGTGGGGAGAATGGAGAATCTCATTTTTAATTTACGAGGCTGTGATAGAAAACTCATCACCAAATGTGAATATCAACCAACCACTGCTTACAAAGAAGGCAATATCACAACAGCACCCAGGGAAATTTAAATGATATATACAAAAAATTCTCAGAAGCACAAAAACCAATAAATTCATCCAAAATGCTAAATTAGATGCTACACTAAGCCAAAAGCTGGCAACAGATTCAATGAAGAGGCTTTAAAATGTTTACTTCTTGATTCAAAGCAAAAGTGCCAGGTTATTTTGAATTTCTGTATCAGACATATTCCCTAATTTTAAAAAAATGCTAACTAGTTTACAGTCTCTGCCATAATGGCTAAATATAAGTAACATATGGCCGCAACCTTCATGGTCTGATATTTTCATTTCTGTAAAGGTAAATAAAGTTTGGTGATTAGATTCAGGATGCAGCCAGGGACTAGCTTTTTTCCAAAAAGCAGCAGGCTGCCACCAAATTGTTCAGATGCTCTCAGGTCATCTAGACATGCTTTTTAAAAATCTGTTGACAATGCAACTTGAGTAAAACCATCTTTGGCTGACTTAATTTTTCTTCAATCAACAGGTAGGAGATCAAATCATTGAAATCAACGGGGAAAGCACAAGGGACATGACGCACGCCAGAGCCATAGAACTCATCAAATCCGGAGGAAGAAGAGTGAGGCTGCTGCTCAAGAGAGGCACAGGACAGGTCCCAGAATATGGTGCGTTTCACGTTTTCATTCACCCTTTTGCTCTTTTTTCTGTAAATGCCTATGCTTATTTATAAAACTACATCCATTCTCTATTCCTACCTAAATATATATTTAGCTATCAATAGGTATATATATATACATATATAGGCACATATACATACGTATGTTTAAGCCCAAGAAATAAATGTGTGTGAACTCTTTCTGTTGCTCCCTCCATTCAGGAATGTTTAAAATATGAAATGTAGGACCTTTCAGGGCATCTCTGAGTGTGCAAGGAGATATAGCATCACCACAATATTAGAACTTTTATAATTTGACTGTTCATTGTCTGCTGTTCATTTGAGTACACAGTAATTTATCACTTATTTCCTAACATTGCTTGTGCATCAGACTACCTCAAAGGATTCATAACTGGGGCCAGGGACAAGCAACATATCTTCAGGGTGTGAAGTTTAAAATGTAAACTTCAGTTCACGCAATGATTGCATTTCCTTAGCATTTAGAAATTATTCTGAAAATTCACTCCTGTGTTGTGTTTCTATATGCTTTTGAGGAAGGCTCTAAAGCACATTTTGATTCACAGATTTGCCTTCAAACATCTTTAACTTGTTGTTTCCAGAAGCCCATTACAGACACCACTGACAGCATAGCTCTAGTATCAGATACATCAGGGTGGTCATTACATGAAAAGCACCAAAACCTGCGGAGGTCTTGAAAAATAATCTCAGTGAGTGACAGACAGAAATAGACAAGCCTACAGACATGTCAGACTAGTGCAGATAATACCTGTTCAGATTAGGGAAACAAGAGCTAACTGCTGACCTGAATAATGAGTTCAAAGTTGATAGAGATAAATTGACTCACTTATATCCTTCTATTCCCTACCACCCCCCAAAAAGGTCTAAAGAGCACTTTTTCGTTTCAGATTATTCTTTTTGCATACATTGTCTAAATAACTGACTAATATCTCCTTACTGAGCAGGGCAGATCTATATCCTGAGTTTAATTGAAATAGCTAAACTCAAAGGCCCTTAAATGCATTATGTTTCCAGCATCTTATGCATCCCTCAAAGCCCACAAAGAGAGCTTGCAAGCCCTCACAGTGAGTCAAAAAGCATTCAGAAGTTTCTGTAGGGCTGGCTCTATGCCCAAGGAAATATTTCATCCCAGATTCCCACCCTTAATGCTTGGATCTAAGAAAATATTTTTAAATACATATGTTATCAATAAGCACAGGTATGATCCTGCTAAAACGTACCAGCATTAATCCCTTTGTAAAGAATCTGAACTCGGAATAGAATAACCTTTTGCACTCTCAAGCATTGACTGATTCAGTAATATCAAAGTGACCTGTGAAATTTTATCACTTCTAAAACATACCACCTTTAACGGTATGCTTCACTCCACGGTGAGACCTGAATATTATCTATACCTAGACATTTTCATAGAGTTAATATTGTTCTAACAAGTTTATCTTTAAAAAGTGAATCTAACCAGCATGACTATCCTGAGCTCTTTTCATTTTTCTGTAGAGTCACTATTGGTCTACACTTTCTCAGCTTCCACCACATCAGCTGCTTATCTGTAGTGAGCAGGTGAACATACTACTGATCAACCTGAGGCATAATTCACACTGTAATGCACAAATATGAAGCCACCTAAAACTATCATGAAGAAGTAGAAACAGGTTTTTGAACAAGATAAAAATTCAAGATCATGTCAACATTATTTCATTAATTCTTAATATCACCAAAAATATATGGTTACAGTAAAATTCTCAAATTAACCAAAGTATCTGGGCACACCTTTTTTTTTTTTTTTAAGGTCTCTGTGGTTGCCCACACTGGAGTGGAGTGGTGTGATCTCACTGCAACCTCCGCTAACCAGGCTGAAGCGATTCTTCAGCCTCAGCCTCCCAAGTAGCTGAGAATACAGGCGTGAGCCACCAATGTCCAGCTAATTTTTTTGTGTTTTTGTTTTGAGATGGGGTTTCACCATGTTGCCCAGACTGGTCTCAAACTCATGGGCTTCAAATCAATCCACCCTCCTCGGCCTCCCAAAGTGCTAAGATTATAGGCATGAGCCACTGCACCTGGCCTGGGCACACTTTTGAGTGCCCAGTCATCAACACTGTTAACTGTAGCAGTATCACAGAATTTCTTCTAAATAAAATCCTCTAAAGTGTAACATTAAATCATACTTGTTAGTAATATTAGCACTTGTCCGCTACTTCTGATATTAAATTGAGATGGATTTTGACTGCAAAATAACTTTAGATATGATGTCACACAAGAAAGAACTTATAGCATAGAGCAGTCTCCTTTAGGAAAGTAAAAGGGTAGTCATCAAGTAGGCAAACATTAGTTCTCTGGGAAAATCTAAGCTTCAAGATGCATGGTTAGGCAAAAGAAACCAAGATTAAGAATCATAGCATCTTTGAGGATAATGTCCATCACGTGATATTTCTGGAATTTCAAAGGACTGATGGGTAGGGAGATGGGGTCCAGGAGTCCCCAAGACCACCTCCACATTTAGAGATTTTCTGGGAGGCCTCCTGGGGCACAGAATATAATTGTGCTCATAGCTAAGATTTGTTACAGCCATATAGTGAAGATACATGGTGGGCTCACAAGGGAAAAGACAAAGGTGGGGTCTGGAGGAATCCACGCAGGCTTCCTTATGCTCCCTCTCTCTTGCACGAGGTGTCACCCAGAGCACTCTTTCCATCCAGCAACAAAAATGCAGCAATATATGTGTGACATTGCTGCTCAGGAAAATTCCCTGGAGACTCAGTGCCCAAGGTTTTCACTAGGGCTGTTGATGCAGGCACGCTCTACCTAGCACGTACCACACTTCCAGACTCCCAGACGCAAAGCAGCCTCAATACAAACCAAACCGATTGCACAAACAGTGCAGATACAGTGAGACACTCTTATAATTTACCAAAAGGTTTACATTAGCTTAGAGGATGATTTACCAGTCATATTTCCAGGCAGCAGCCAGTGGCCACCCTCGAAAGCTGGCCTTTCTAAGGAGAGCAGTCTCAGGCCTGTTCTGTTAACCTTTTCTGCTCCAGAAGCAAGCCAGAGAAGTGGCCACATCTATGAACTACGTAAGTGAGTGCAACATACAGGGAGTGCCCACAGCTGAGGAACACCACAATTCTTCCAGCATCAAATAGACTATATCATGAAACAGAATTGCTTGTCTTCTTTCACCAACTTGATGCTTCTGTTTAAAAAAAGAATTTTTCCTTTTGGTCTAAGATAAACTAGAGTATATTTTAATTCTCCAGCAGCAGAATTGGTAACAGCAAAATAATAACAAAAGGAAGTGCTCATGGAAAAAGAAAATTAAGTACTTGAGTTTACCAGTAGATATAGCCAAGAATGTAATCCTACTTTTTCCTAATGCACCCTAATCATGGGAAAATGGATTTTTTTGGAAAACTACTCCCTGTGGAAGGATTTCAATGAGTCCTCCCTTTGATACCCTTATGATTCAAAATTCAGGACAGCTTTGAAGCAAGACCCTTATCTGGACTTCTGGACACATCAAGAAAAAGCTGGCTTCAGTCAAGAGAAATAAAAAACTCTCGCTCTGAGTTCTTAAAGTGATCTGTGACTGAGAGATAAGCGTAGGTACAACTGAAAAAATACCAAAAGCGATCTGTCATATCATTGACTAAACAAAATCAGTGTGACTCCAAGTGAGCTGGAGGAAGGAATAAACATGCTGCAAATATGTCATCTCTAATTACCCAGAGACTAAATGTCAGGTGACACCTCAGCCAATTCAGAGGCAGAAATCAACAAATGCCGCCCCGAAAGTAGTGGCTGCACACAGAGGCTGTCGAGCAGCTGCAAGGGGAGTCGGAAAATGATGAGGGCTTTGAAGGAGGAGTTGCTTTCATAGTTAAGTCCTTGAAAGACAAGCTCAGGAGATAGATACTTCAACTCCACTCCAGCCCTCAAGGATAAGAATTTGTTGATTGTAAACTCAGTGGGAAGCGTGAGTTCCCCTCCCCTGATACACATCTCAATGTCATACAGAGAAGAGGATCAAAAGATGATACATCCAAAGCAGTGTCCTCCTTCACCCTGGTTATTGCTATTCAAATGAAATCCACAAAGGTTAAGAGAAAAGGAAGTATGCATCATGGTTGTAAAACTGCACAGGAATAAATTATACAGATTAGCTGCCTGCCTTGAAATGCAGGCATCCTTCATTAGCATTCAAAGAGTACAACACGAACACACACTTGATTTATCAACTGAGACACAGAGTCAGGGCCAAGGTAAATAAAGGTACCGCTAGATGAAAAAAGAAATCCAACATAAGCAATTCAGACCAAAATGGAGGCTTTCCCTTGGTAATGTCTAGTGTTCAAAGTTAATCAGAATAAAGCAAAATATAATAGAAGCATGCTTTTTAGTCTGGGTTGGTGTTCTGGCCTGTTTATTCTCTTAGAAAGCCACAGGGCAGGGCTTTATGAATAGAACACTGAAGAGAGTCCAATTCCCCTTCATGTGGGCATATATGGTGTTAGTTGTCACTGGGCCATTTTCATTGTGAGATTTCTCATCCTCTAAGCTAATGTAAACCTTTTGGTAAATTATAAGAGTGTCTCACTGTATCTGCACTGTTTGTACAATCGGTTTGGTTTGTATTGAGGCTGCTTTGTGTCTGGGAGTCTGGAAGTGTGGTATGTGCTAGGCAGAGGGTGCCTGTATCACCAGCCCTAGTGAAACCTTGTAAGTGGGAGTCTGAGTGGTCTTAGGAGGCCAAGCAGGGTTAAAAAGGATGAAGCAGACACCTCACAATGAAAATGGCCCAGTGACAACTAACACCATATATGCCCACATGAAGGGGAAGAAACAGCCAATCAGTGAATTATACTTCTGCCTACACTTTCATTTTCGAAGTTAATCGTATCTTTAATATAATAGGCTTTGGCTTGATTACAAGCACTTGGTAAATGAAATTGTTTACATTTTGTAGGTATAAAA